GTGCTATGCTAAGCTATGCTGTGTCATGCTGCGCTGTGCTATGCTAAGCTGTGTTATGTTATGCTATGCTGCGCTACGCTATGCTATGATGGGTTATGCTATGATATGTTATGCTGCGCTATGCTATGCTACGCTATGCTATGCTATGCGGTGCTATGCTATGCTAAAGCTCAGCGAAGCTAAGATGAAGGTAAGCTAAGCTAAGATTATCCCAGTGTGACCATACCTAGGCGTTGGAGCATTTAGGAAAACAACATCTACATCTACACCGACAGCTACATTTACATATACACCTGCATATACATGATATGCTAGGCTGCGCTATGCTATGCTATGCTATGCTATGAGTTGCTATGCTTTGCTATGCTGCGCTGTGCTATGCTATGCTAGGGTACGCTCGGCTGCACAGTGTTATGCTAGGCTGTGCTATGCTATGCTATGCTGCACTATGCTATGCTATGCTATGCTATGCTATGCTGCGCTATGATATGCTATGCTAGGCTATGATATGCGATGCTGCGCCATGCTATGCTATGCTATGATGTGGTATGCTATGTTATGTTGCGCTATGCTATGCTATGCTATGCTATGCTATGATGTGCTGTGCTATGCTATGCTATGTTGCGCTGTGCTATGCTAAGCAATGCTATGTTATGCTATGCTATTCTGCGCTATACTATGCTACGTTATGCTATGCTGAGCTATGCTATGCTATGCTAGGCTAGGCTATGCCTGGCTATGCAATGCTATTATATGCTGTGCTAATGCTGCGCTGCGCTCTGCTGCGCTGCGCTAAGCTAAGCCAAGGTAAGCTAAGCTATGCTAAGCTAAGCTAAACTGAGCTAGGCTAGGCTACGATAAAATAAGCTAAGCCAAGCCAAGCCAAGCTAAGCTAAGCTACGATGAGGTAAGCTAAGCTAAGCTAAGCTAAGCTAAGCTAGGCTAGGCAAAGCTAAGCTAATATGAGCTAAGCTAAGCTGAGCTAAGCTAAGCTGGGTGAACCCAGGGGGCGCAACTGGGGGAACCGCGGGGCGGATGCTGGGGGAACCGCCCAGGGCGAGTTGCACTGCCTGGCCCTTTAAGCATACCGAGTAAGAACCCTTCTAGGCAGAGCCTAGGTAGGAAATAAACCTGAGCTAAGATGAAGCTAAGCTAAGCTAAGATGAAATAAGCTAAGCTAAGATGAGATAAGCAACGCTAAGCTAAGGGGACGTAACTGGGGGAACCGCGGGGCGGATGCCGGGGGAACCGCCCGGGCCGGTTCCCACTGCCCGGCCCCTTTAAGATACAGGGTAAGAACCCTTCTAGGCAGAGCCTAGGTAGGAAACATCATAAGTTTAACTGTAGAGCATGCGTCTTCGCTCCTTGCGACTTATACGCGAATGAAGCGGGGGTGTAAACTTCTGTCGCTCCAAATGTGTGCTAACTGGTTTGGGCTGCCTGAGACAGCAGTTTCTCACAAGTGCATGGTTACAACGTCGTCTGAGAGCGTACATCGCAACATGAGTGTATACATCGCCAGTTGAAGCGTTTGTACGTAATTTCTAATCTTGTATGTGGCGCACATGCGCCGACAGGTGTCAGGAAGGCACACACGCGCGCGCACACACACGCACACAAACACACGCACACGCACACACACACACGCGCACGCACACACACAAACGCACACACCACACACACAACACACACACACACACTCACACAACACACAACACACAGACACACAAACACGATGTCCTCCTGCAACGCTTTGCACCAACTGTTGGTTGTCCGCCGACGGGGCCCGTCAGCACACGGACTGCAGCTGCACGCGCGGCGACTGCGCTCAGAGGCCGAGGTCGTGCCCTCCCGCCGCCCAAACAAAAAAAAAAAAAAACACAAAAAAAAAAAAAAAACTCGTCCGGCGTACCGACCCGAAGGAGCACGACGAGGGTGGACTGGAAACCTCGACGGCCGCGCTCTCTCTCTGAAGGGCCTGCCTGCTTACCGTTGCCCCGCGCGCCTGTCCTCCCCCCGTCTCTGTCCCCCCTCCCGCGTGAGCTGAGCGGGCGAACCGCTATGGAACTGCACGTCTGTTTCACAGACGGTCAACCCCTTGCCGTCGCTCGGGCGTCCGTTTCCCGTGCATGTTTCGGTTTCGTGTTTGTTTTTTTGTTGCTCGATGGTCCAGGATGGTCCTCGATGGTTCTCGCCGAGAGAAAAAGCACACGTCCGAGCGATGCCAAGACCCGAATCATTAGAATGCGCGGTAATGGATGCAAGGGCCTTGGAGGCCCATGTTAACGTTTCCGAACGCAGTTGGCCAACGAAAGTCGCCAAGGATGGGCCGGAAGAGCAAGGATGCAAAGATACCCTTGAGAAGATTGCCCATCCCTACTATGCGGGCTGACTGTACCATATGCACTGCAGCCGATGAGCCGTCATGGCACGGCTTCTTCGTTCGTTCGGAAACCTCAACCGATGAATAGGGAGACTGGAACGATACATGGAACCTAGACCTGGAGACAGGTGATAAGAGGTTCATTGAAACCGACTGAGCTGGTGATGGGGGTGGAGTGGAGACCTCGACCTGCAACCTGGAACGATAGGAGCAGACAGAAGGAACAACCAGGGAAAACGATAGGCCCAGAGGGGGAGACCGTCGACCTGGAATGAATGAATCGGCGATAGATCGGCGGGAGGCCCCCCATAGCGAAATAGCACGTTCCTGGGCGGAGTGGGCTATCGGGCCCCTGTCGGCGATGAATGGGCGACTGGGGGTCGATGTGCTCCCCCCTGACCCCATCCCCTGAAGGGGAACTGGGACACACAAGTAAATACCCACACATAAGACTATCCCCCATGTTTTCGCATACTTTCTGGGCTTTCGTCTTCCCCCCCGCTTCCCATATTTTCCCATGTTTTCCTGGGAGAGGAGGATTAATTGTGTCTGTGTGTGTGTGTGTGTGTTTTTCCCCTCCTGATCCCCGTTCCCCGTTGCTTTCAAGCCACAGATCGGGCCTGCGGCGCCCAGTCGGAACGGTCTGAGCCTCCTCAAAACGCCCTCGGCGACGCGCAGCCGCTGGGCGGCATCCCGAGGCCGGAAAACCGCCGAGAACCGACGAAGCCATCCGAAAACTTTGAGCCTCGAAGCCCTCGAGCCTATTTTAGGAGGCAACTACTGGGAGGTTTTCGTCGGAAAGATTAAGGGGGACTAGGCCCCATTTGGGAGCTGTTACGCCTGAGCGGGCCTCGGATTAAGCGGGATTAAGCCGGATTAAGCCGGATTAAGCGGGAGTAAGCGGGATTACGCAGGACTGAGCAGGATTAAGCCGGATGTCGGACCAGGGCAAAATCAGAATTTGACCTCCCAGGAGTTGCATCCGAGCCTATTCCCCCCCACCGGTGCTCCCGAACCAGGCTCCGACGGCGACCTGCTCCACCATCCGCGGATCGGCGTGTGGCAAAGAGAGGAGGTGGAGGAGGAAAAGCCACGCTGCTGCAAGACAGAACGTGCGATGTGTGTGTGTGTGTGTGTGTGTGTGTGTGTTAAGAACGATGCCTGGTAGGCGCACGGGTGCGTTGGAAAGATGCATGGTTGACTGTAGGACGCCGGAAGCTAACCAGCTCTCCCCCCACGGCACTGCGGGCCCACAAAGTCCCTCTGCAGGGGACCTCCTTGAGGACCCGGAGGAGCCACTCTTGGAGTCCATGGATCCCCCTTATCGAAAAACACTCCCAGGATTCAAGACATTGCCGGGGCAACCTGCCGAACCCAAGGCTGCGGAACTTCGTCCCAGGGATGATTGCCTACGTTGAAGTTCTTCGTCTCGGGGGGGCACTGGGAACGAGGGGCAACTTCGAACAGCCCTCGTCCTGATCAAGTGCCAAAAAACCCAGGGATGATTGCCTATGTTAAAGTTCTTCGTCTCGGGGGGCACTGGGAACGAGGGGCAACTTCGAGCAGCCCTCGTCCTGATCAAGTGCCAAAAGACCTCTCGCAGAGGGCAGAACGGGAGCGGTGGCGCCTTCCCCGAGCGGCACCATCGGCCATTGGCACATCCCAGCCTCGGCCTCGGGAGCGCACGCGGACACAGGCAGGAAGCGGAGAGGGGCAATATTGGAAAGACAAGGGCTCCCAACTTCGCGCTTCGCGCTCCGCGAAGCGCGAATAACTTCGCGCTCTCGCGCCGCCCCCCCAAAGGGAGAAAAGGAGGACGAGGAGGAGGGGGAGAAGGAACGAGGACCGCGAAGCGCGAACCGCGAATAACTTCGCGCCCTCGTGGGAGCCCTTGAAAGACTAATGGTACAAGCAATGGAATTGTTCGAACAGTAGGGGCACCGACTCGACAGCACTCGGTGGCGTAGCACCCACCCCCTTCGACCGCATTCGCTTGCAGATCATTGGCTCCGCTCTCTGGCGCTGACGCAGAAGCGCAGGGCCCCGAGGGAAGTAATGCCAGTCAGCGAGGACCACGACCAATGATTTAATGCAATCTTCGGCGGTGGACAAACCTCCCTTTAGTAAACCTCCCCTTAGTGAAAACGGCCTGGGACCGAAACCGACGGACCTGGACCCGCAAAAAAGACGGCCGCGACGCTCTCTCTCGAACCGAAAACGGCCAATTCCTTAATCGACGTGTCAGGGTAAGAGGTCTATCCACCTCCGAAATCTATGCGATGCAGAAGCAATGCAGACCAATGCAACGCATCAAAAAAGCGACACGGCGCTGGGCGGCAACGTGCTGGCCGAACCGCCATATTGGGGCCCAGCGGCGACGAGCCGGGCGGACCGCCCCTGGGTCCCAGACCAATGCAAAGCAACGCAAAGCAGGGAAAGGAAGAGCCAGGCAGTACAACGCAATGTAATGCAAGGCGAAGCGACGCAAATCAACGCGGAGCAGTGAAAAGCAAGGACAAAAACAGTACAACGCCCTGCTACACAATGCAAAGTTGAGCAAAGCAACGCAAATCAATGCGAAGCAGTGCAAAGCAATGCAAAGCAGACGAAAGCAATGCGAAGCAATGCGACAACGCCAAGCAATGTGGCGCAATGCGAAGCAATGCGAAGCGATGCAAAGCCGTGCAAAGACAAGCACAGGAACGCAAAGCAAAACAAAGCAGGCAGCGATAGTGTAAACGTGGAACAACGCACTGCAAAGCTATGCGGCGCAAGGCGACGCAACGCAATGCAGGGCAGCGCAGCGACTGGAGGCGACGAAGCAGCCGGATCGCCACTGTGGACCAGCGGCAACGGCGGCGACGGGCGGCGACGGGCCGCACGGACCGCCGCCGTGGCCCAGGGGGCAAAGGCGGCGAGAGGGCTCTCAGCTACCTTCGAAGACAGGCAAGAGCCCCTAAGCTCGCCATCGCTCGGACTTCCATTACCTGTTTTTTTGTTCGGTTTCGTGCGTGGCTTTTTTCGCCAAATGATCAAGGATGCTCCTCGATGGTCCTCGCCGAAGGAAAAATGCACACGTCCGAGCGATGCCAAGTAAATGCAAGCACCGTTTGGGGAAGCACCTCTGCTCGCCACCTCGTCTGAACAGACAGCGACCGCCGGAGGGGGGGCGGGGGGGGGGGGGGGGGGCGCTGCTGATTCGGGGGGCGGGGGGGCGACGAAGGGGTGAGGGCGCAGGGACGTGGACCTTTCGTGCTCCAGGGGGCCCCTTGGGGCCCCTAGGGTGCACGAAAGGTGCGCGTCTCTTCCTCCCCCCTCATATCGCCCCCGACATTACGCCACGCCCGGCGCGCCACGATCGTCGAACATCTCCGTATCCGCACCCTCGCGGTCCGTATTCCGGGGCGCGATCCCGCGGATACGTGGTCGCTGCCACGGCAAGCCCGTCAACAAGCGGCTGCGAACTCGAAATCCGGCGAACGTGACTCCTGCGTTCCCCGAACGGATCTGCTTTCCTCGCGCGAACGCAGGCTGTGCTCAGAGCTGCCAGACGCTGCTCCGAAACGACGGAGGGCCTGCCACCATTCATTCCCCTTGCGCACATAGACCGACCTCAAAAGACGAAACGCTACCCAACACGACGACCGGGCCTGCCCAAGGTCGCGCCAAAACGTTGGCCAAAACGCAGCTCAAAATGCGCGCTGCGTTTTTCCCCCAGGGCTGCAGTGTGCTTTATCGCATACTTACATGATTTTGGGAGGGCATTTAGGGCATCATTTTGGGCCAACATCAGAGGCGGCATCTCGGGGGGATGTTCAGTCACCGCGCTCCCGCGTCGGAGCCGGCGCGTTTGGGGCGGTTTTGGCCGGGCCCTGGTTTTGAGCAGACCCTGTCTTTGCCGGGTGCGGCCAAGAGGGGGGCGTCCAAGAGGGGGGGGCGAAACCATGGCCGGCGGCGTGTGCGTGGCCCTTTGGGGGGGGGCGGGGGGCGAGGGACGCCACGACATCAGGAGAGGCGCCATGGAATCTCGGGAAATACCATGGCCGACGCCATGAAATCCCCCTCCCCACCTACAGTCGAGGCGTTGACCTAAGGAACCCTAAATAAGGAACGAGGCCCCTCTTCTCCATAAGTTGAACTTCGATTTCGCATCGAAAACCTAAGGAAATCCAAGGCAAGCTGCGAAACAATTAGGGAACACCGAGCCCCTCCCCAGCGAAAAGGGTTCCTTCTTGAGCGCCCCGACTGTAGTCGTCACCCCCCTCCTTGCCGCCCCCGAATCTGGGGGGGCGCCCGGCGCCACACTGCTGCGACCGCCCGCGGCTCGGTGTTCCTTAATTGGTTCGCAGCTTGCCTTGGATTTTCTTAGGTTTTCGATACGAAATCGAAGTTCAACTTATGGAAAAGAGGGACGTCGTTCCTTATTTAGGGTTCCTTAGGTCAACGCCTCGACTGTAGTCGTCACCCCCCTCCTTGCCGCCCCCGAGGCTGGGGGGGCGCCCGGCGCCACACCGCCGCGACCGCCGGCGGCCACCGGACCGCCCTTGCAGGGGCGGCGCAGGGGCCCGCCGCCCCCGACCATGGGCGCCCGCCCGCCGCGGTCCGGAGCGGTCGCCCCCGCGCTGGAAGCGCTCGGGGGCAAGCAAAATGTTGATATATACACATATATATATGTATTATATAATTTTTTTTTTGGGGGGGCAAGCAAAAGGGACTGGGCCGGAGTATCGGGAGCGGCCAAGAGGGGAGCGCCCAAGAGAGGGGGGGGGTGCAGAGCATGGCCGGCGGCATGTGCGCGGCCTAGCGGGGGGGGGGCCAGGGACGTAATGAGATCACCCCAGTGCGACCCTACCTAGAAGTTGGAGCCCCTAGGAAAGCAGCATTAGTTGCTACGCTATGCTATGCTATGCTATGCCATGCTATGCTATGCTGTGCTATGCTATGCTATGCTATGCTATGCTATGCTATGCTATGCTATACTATGCTATGATATGCTGCGCTATGCTATGCTAAACTATGCTATGTCATGCTGCGCTGTGCTATGCTATGATATGCTATGCTATGCTGCGCTGTGCTATGCTGTGCTGTGCTGCGCTATGCTATGCTATGCCATGCCATGCCATGCTATGCTGCGCTATGCTATGCTATGCTGGGCTATGCTATGATATGCTTGGTTGCGCTATGATATGCTACGCTATGCTATGCTATGCTTTGCTCCGCTATGCTAAAGCTCAGCGAAGCTAAGATGAAGATAAGCTAAGCTAAGAAGAAAACACTGAGCTAAGATGAAGCTAAGCTAAGCTAAGATGAAACCAGCTAAGCTAAGATGAGATAGGCAACGCTAAGCTAAGGGGACGCAACTGGGAAAACCGCGGGGCGGATGCCGGGGGAACCGCCCGGGGCGAGTTACACTGCCCGGCCCCTTTAAGAAAGAGAGTAAGAACCCTTCTAGGCAGAGCCTATGTAGGGAATAAGAAGAGGCGCCATGAAATCAGGGGAAATATCATGGCCCTCGTCATGAAATCCACCCCCAGTCATCATCCCCATCTTTGCCGCCCCCGAAGCAGGGCTGAACGGCATGAAGCCCGATTGAGCGGGATTGGAGCAGGCGAGGTCTTAAACCAGATGAGTCCAGTTTCCGACCAGGGATACAAACCAGTGCAGAGTCTGAATGCAGGCTGCTGCATCCGAACAAGCGGGGGAGGACTCTGAGACGAAGCCAAGACCAACAGAGAATCGGACCAGGATCAATCGGGGATCTCTGAGATCCAGCGGTTCTAGACGACGTAACGGTGCAGTCGGGATGCTGAAGTAAGCAACAAAAAACAAGGAACGAACCTCCTTTTTGCCCACAAAAGCGCCTGTGTGCACGAGGAAGGCGAAAGGAACAGCCATGGAAGGACCAAAGAAACATCGTGCCCCTTCCGAACCCAAACTGTTCCATATTTCAGCGTCCTGACTGTATCGGGCGCCGCGGCCATCCCAGAGAGCCCGCGAGCACTCTGAAGGAGTTTCAGAACGCTCTGGAACGGACTCATGCTTGACCCGGCCCCTCCTGGATGATCCCGGTGTCTACAGGCGGCGGAACCTGGACGACGCGCACTGACCTGCAATAACGAATGAGCGAATATTCGGCGGAGGCCCGCTTCGAGCTCACCCCAAAGAACGCTCTGCTCGAGCTGGAACGCGGGTTGATGCTCCTTCATCGCCTGCTGCTATTCCTGCTTCCTCCCCCTCCTTCTTCATTAACAAAGGCCGAAGGCTTAACAAAGGCCTAGGACTTAACATTGTTAGGGGCATCTACCACCCACCGACAGCCTTGCAGGGGAGAATTGCAGGGGTGAGACTAACCATAGCGAGGTTCGACTATGCACTATGTGTTGCCTACTATGCGCCCACCCACTTGCAATACCATCCTAAGCTGGCGGACGCCATCAGCCACTGGCAAGAGGCACGACTCGACAGGCTTGGATGCCGCACGACGATAATAGTGGGGGGACATAAACAGCGACTTCGGGTGCCAGCGCGACCACGACGGGGGGGTAGTCTGCAGTACGGGCCCTACAGTAGGCCCCAAGGTACCCAAGCTCGAAAACTACAACGGACACAGCTTTCGGACGATGTGTGCAGGGAGCGACTTGAGCATCGTCACT